ACTGGTCGAGGAACTATACAACCAACACGTCAGCCTCTCGTTGAACGAATTAAGCTATTTCTATTCAATACCGACCTTGAGAGCTTCATTCTTGGCAATCTCGTAACCATCCGTGATCACTCTGGGATGCAGCCCCTCAGAGATATACCGATCAGCCTGCTTCAAGAGCTCTCCGACCATCAGGACGACGGACGTCGTTCCATCACCGGTAATATCGTCTTGTGCTGTGGCGGCTCGGGCAATCATAACCTTGTTCGTGTGAGTAAAATGTGGTCCTCGAGTTCGAATCGCAGGTAGCTTACGGCTGTTGGGTTTTGGATTTGCTGCGTTAGTTAGTATGGGTTCATATGACATGGCAGAGCATAACTTACCATCTCTCGCAAGAGCACGTTGCCATCCTTAGTCAACTTGATCTGTAGGGGACTGCCGTTAGGTAATGTATTCTTCATTCCAATGAGACATGGTTCATACTCCTCCAGCACCATCCACCAACCTATTTCGTGTCAGTACTTTGTCATTATTGGACCATTTCAAAAGTGAAACATACATCTTTAGGGTACCAGATGGACCCAAATTAGACTTCAAGACATCCTGAAGGCCCTCACCAGCACTAATGTTCACTTTTAAAGCTTCCGCCCTCCGCTGTGCGGTGTCAGTGTGTGTCTAGATAATTGAGGGGCAGTTCGGAGCTTTTCCCATACCCTCGACTCGGCTTTGGGGTTCAGTAGCTGAGTTGCAGACATCTCTGCAGATTGAAATCGATAACAGACAACAAAAGAGCACGCGGAAGTACTCAAAAGCAAAATAACCCCTGTTGATATTAGTCGCCCAGAAAAGAAACCCGCGTTGGCACAAACTGCTGGTAGGCCCCGGCGAATGCGGTGAGCCTGAGTTTTGGCAAAAAGCCCACATTCGATGTTCGCACTAGCGCCGCCGCGAAGAAAAAAAAGAGCTCTGACGGTTCGGACTCTCCAAATCCACCTTCCAGCCCTTTTTCAACTCCACGTCGGGACACACCAAGACTGCAATCGCAGGTGACCGGTGACTGCGCAGTGGGCTTGGGTTCTCGGATCAATCAACTGACGTTTTTTTGTGAATTTGAGGACATTAAGACGATTTCGCCATGGCCGACTACCTTTTGTTCGAGGGCCCTATGGGCTACTCAATCTTCAAAGTCGCTCACCAGGGAGACAGCGTTGGAAATCGCTTGAAGGAGGTTCAGGATGGTGTTAATGATCTTGCGAAGTTCGGCAAGATGGTTGAACTCGCCAGTTTCCTGCCATTCGAGTATGTTTTTGACGATCTATTCAATTTTTTCCCTTTCAAGCCGGAACGTGTATATGCTGACAAACTCTAGAAACAACAAGCAGGCTCTCAGCGAAATCAACGATGTTTCGGAAGGTGTCGCTTCTGACACTCTTATCAACTTTCTCGAATTGAACCTTCCAAAGGCCAGCAAGAAGAAGAAGATCGTTCTCGGACTTGCTGACAAGGCGCTGGCTTCAAGTATCAAATCAGCGTTCCCTTTTGTCGACTGTGAGACTGGAGACACCAGTGAAGTTGTGCAAGATATGCTTCGTGGAATCAGGCTGCATGCCACTAAGTTGCTAAAGCAGCTCCGCGAGGGTGATATGGATACTGCCCAGCTTGGTCTCGGTCACGCCTACTCCCGTGCTAAGGTTAAATTCTCCGTCCAGCGTGACGATAACCACATTATTCAGGCTATTGCAATTTTGGACCAGCTCGACAAGGCCATCAACACCTTCTCTATGAGGGTGAGAGAGTGGTACTCGTGGCACTTCCCCGAACTTGTCAAGATCGTTTCGGATAACCAGCGCTACGCTCAGATTGCACTTTTTGTCAAGGATAAGAAGACTCTGACTGATGAGAGTTTGCATGACCTTGCTGCTCTTGTGGAAGATGATGAAGGTGTTACTCAGAGCATTATTGATGCTGCCAAGCACAGCATGGGCCAGGAAATATCTGAGTCGGACATGGAGAATGTCATTGCGTTCGCACAAAGGGTTGTCAGCCTTTCCAAGTATCGCAAGTCGCTGCACTCTTACTTGATTTCCAAGATGAGCGTCGTCGCTCCTAACCTTGCTGCGTTGATCGGAGAGATCGTTGGCGCTCGTCTGATTTCGCATGCCGGAAGCTTGACCAACTTGTCCAAGTATCCCGCTTCTACCGTGCAGATTCTCGGCGCGGAGAAGGCTCTTTTCAGAGCTCTGAAGACCAAGGGAAACACTCCCAAGTACGGACTGCTGTACCACTCGTCTTTCATTGGCCGAGCTGGCCCCAAGAACAAGGGTAGAATCTCGCGATTCCTTGCAAACAAGTGCTCTATCGCTTCCAGAATCGATAACTTCTCCGAGCAACCCTCGACCAAGTTCGGTGAAATTCTGAAGAAGCAGGTTGAAGAACGTCTGGAGTTTTATGCCTCTGGCGCACCCCCTACTAAGAATGAAGTTGCCATGGTATGTTTGGTTTCCTCGAGGAATATCCTATATGGAAAAGTCACTGACCATCACAGAAATCCGCCATGGATGCCGTTCTGGCCGAAATGGACATCGACGCTGATGCCAGCGACAAGGAGATGCACGACATCGATGACAAGGCTGAGAAGAAGGAGAAGAAGGAAAAGAAAGAAAAGAAGGAGAAGAAGGAGAAGAAGGACAAGAGCGAGAAGGAAGAAAAGAAGAAGAAGCGGAAGTCCGACGTTGGCGAAGGCGAATCCGAGAAGAAGAAGCGCAAGCACGACAGCGATGCTGAGCCGTCCAAGAAGAAGAAGAAGGTCTAAAGGCACCACTCTTTGTTGGGACTAAAAGGGCGTATTCGTCGCGGCGTTTGTAGGGTTGATTTGTCTTTTGTGATTTACCTCTTTTTGAATTTCCTTACATCTTGTTCTGAACGACTCTATTGGGCTGGGTATTTGTAAATTATATGATTGAGCCGTTGTCGTGCTGAGTCTCTATAGTCCGCAGAATCTCATTTTGTTTCTGGTTATCTCCTTTCAAGAGCTGGAACGTTCCTCATTGAGGAAGATACAGTTCTAGTATAATGTCAGACAAATGAGAAAATATCGATGATCATCATTCATGAACGCATTAGCCTGGCTGACGGGAGTAAAAACATCATTATGCAACATGTGAATCCTCCTCGTCCTCCTCTTCTTCTTCTTCCTCCCCTTCACCCGCGCTACTATTATTCTCGTCAAGTGTGTCTCTAAGGGCCCATCTGCCGATGAATCTATCATCCCTGACCGGATCTTGTAGTCGGACTTTGCGACTTTCCATCCACCGTAGTAGGTCCGACTTGCGTATGGTGACATAGTGATCGGGCTCATCGGCAGCCTGCTTTACCTTTCGCCTTTTGGAAGGCGTTTCAGGTTGAACAACGCCCATTCCTCTGAGGGCCGTAATCACGTCCTCCGTCAGCATTCCGGTGGCCTGGCCTATATCCCTAACGGTCATGAGAGTTGATGAATGCCGTTTCCGACTCTCTTTGACCGGCTGTGTCTCTTGTACAGAACCATCTGTATCGTCTGATAACAAACGCCTTCCGATCCGTTCTTGCCAGAAACGGGAATAGCTTCGCGCACCCATATCACTCAGCGGCTTCTCGGGACCGCCTATGGAACCCGCATCTTCTTCCCAGGCACTGATTTTATAACTAACACCCATCAATAACTTTCCCAGCTGCTTGTGTTGGTAAGGTGGAAAGACCAAAATGCAGGCAAGGTTGTTCGCGTCCCAGGACAGTTTCTCCTTGGAGAAAAATCCTAGAATATGGTATTTTTCGGGGTTCTCAGGATCGGTGAACGAGAGGATGTAGTACAGAAAAGTTGCGACGTCGAAGAATACGGACTTATGATCGAGAAATAGCTTCGCGAAGAGCGAGAGGTTTTGCGCATAGAGCTTATGTTCTTCTCCATCCACCTCCCATACTGAATATCCGCCGTGTTCGTAGACCTGGGCGCCGGGAGGTGTTGTCCTGTGTTCGCAAAGTCGCATATGCTTCACATGGCTGTTCACGTCGCAAGAGTAACGGAAACACCAGCAACAGACATATAAACGGTCTGTATCCTTGCTCACGAGGTCTTCGGGATAGATCGATTGATACCAAGTCTTGAATAAAAGGTCGCCCAGTACAACCTGTTTCAGGTTACGCTCGGTCGGGGATTTCACGTAGGGAGACGCGCCGTCGGCAGAGGCCATTGAGTGAGAGAGCAAATGGGAGACGTATTAAGGTCAAGGCTGTGTGAAAGCGACAGGTGCAATTTTATGTATGCGACGCTTGCTCTGATGCTGAGCCATCTGCGGAGCAGTTGCTGGGAAGAATTCGAAGGAGAAGCGACGTCAGGGTGTGGTTAAGTTCCAGCATGCAAGACAACAATGTTCGGAGGAGTTATTTTCAATCGAGGCCCGTGTTGGAAATGATAACACAGAGACTATTTACTCATGCAAGATAATAGATAGTACAAGTACATGAAAGATTCATACTCCTACTGCCAATTGACGATCGATGCTGTTTTGGCCGCGCTCTGATGGATTAGAGGTATTAATCCGTGGGGTGTTACTCTTGTATCTTTAGCTTTGTCTCCGCCCATCTGATTACCCTCAAGAAGCTCCGAACGCCAACCACATGCGTATTCTGTTGCCTGCTATCTACCTCTGCGTTTATGATTTGATGGATTTTACGCATGAGACCTGTCCAGCCAATATTATTTGATTCTCCTCACTTCTCTTTGTCGTATTGTGAACAAGGATATTCTGCCGCCAGTCAGAAGTTGTCGTCTTCTGTGTTGCCATCCACAGGCAGCAGCATAGCTGCGGCCTCGTCAGCTTCTCGCCGCACCCCATGCTATCTCTTATCTATTTGAAGCTTGCAGCTCTCATCTTCTTCTAGTCTACCGTTTTCTCTTGCCCATCAATATTTTCCGTTATCAATCTCAGTTGTGTCTCTATTGACCACTCTCCAATCGGTGGCTATCAGCAGCCATGTTGAAGCCATTTCAGATAAGAGATCTTCATGGATCTCCAACACAGGAAGATGCGTTCACCTCTCTCGACTATCTCCCACAGGGACACCATGGTCACAATACCAGTAGGCGCTCGGGCATTGTGCAGCTCTCAGCCTCTGACTACGATGAGATCGCATTGTCTCATCCCCGAGCCCGGCTGACATACGTGGATGATGACGACGGAGACATTATCACTGTGAGTGTTACGTTCTGCTCAGATTTACACGTTTAGTCACTAACACATATACTCCTAGGTCGGATCATCTCTTGAGCTTTCTCAACGTCTGGACGAGCCTATATATGATATGCCAATCCAGGCAAACCCTACACAAGAATCCACGATACCTGAGACCATGCATATCTTCGATATTCGCCGATCTAACTCTGTCACCGAGTTGTGGAAGCGATTCGAGTATAATCCAGCTGGTCGGGAAATAGAAGGCTCAAAGAACGCCGTAGAATCGACAACGGACAAATGTACTTTCCCTCTACAAGACGGCACAGAATCAAACGCTGAGCCTACAAATGAGAGTTCTGAATCGCTTTTGGCAGCCTTTGAAACAGAGATGGCCAAGATTCTGAGCGCGTCAGGGCCTTGCAATACCAACAATGCAGAAGAGATTCCTTCTACACAAGTGCCAAACGAGTCGGCAAGCTCTGGCAGACGCACAAATCCCGCTGTGGCTTTGGCTCAGGCGATGCACCACCTGATCAACGGAGCTGAAATGGTTGGCTCCGAAGTGAGGTCAAGATTGCCAGAGTTGGAACATCAGTTAGAGCATCATCTACAGAACGCGCAGAGAGTCCTGCCAGAAAACGTCGGGTCGACTGTCCAGGCAGCTCTTGCGAGCCTGGATGCTCAGATGAGGAATCTGACCAATGCGCTGAACAATGCAAGCAGTGCAAGGGATCGGAGAACCAGCAACATTTTCAGGGGCGAGGTTCCTACACCTGCAGAGGCTGTAGACAGCCTGTATGCTATGGCTTCTGAGCTCGGCCAGATGGGACACACACTATACTCGGCCTTTGAGACTGAGTTCGGTTCCCGTATTGGAGCAAGAGATGCAAGTCAGCCGTCGGATGAAAGTCTTCAAAATCCGGCGCCGCCTGACGAAGCTGCGGTAAACCGAGAGCCTTCAGCTGAAGATTCGGTTTCGAACACTAAGACTGAGAAGGAGGCGACGATCCCGTTAACCGCTGAAGAACCTGATACAACTTCAAGAGAGCAGGGAAGTAAAATCCGAGAGGAGCCGCGGCCATTCAGCAGCCGGACTGAGGAACCTGGTCTTGCCCAGTGCGTCCCATCGCAACAGGACGAGCCGTCAGAGCTACCCGAATCCGTTCGTCATGGCCCCCCTACGTTTGATCTTCCTTATAGACCTCGTCCATGGCGCCGTTTCCCTCATCCGCCCCATTGTCGTTCCCATCATCAACATCATCCTCATCCTCACTCTCGTCCCCATCCGCCTCCCCCTCCCCCGCAACGCCATCACGATATTCATCCCCATCCTCACCCTCCTCATCCTCCTCACCATCCCCACTACCACCATCAACATCAGCCTCTTCCCTTTCCTCCGCCACCCCCACCACATCAACATCACCATATCCCTCCTCCCCCTCACCCACCTCACCCGTCCCATCCCTCGCCTATTCCTCGCCCGCCATGGGGAGCGCAGGGTGCCTTCCCTCCATTATTTCCGCCTCATCCGCATGCTCATGATCATTCATCATGGCGCTCCGCGTGGCCATTTTTCCGGCCGCACCAGGAGCACCAGTCCGAAGCGCCAACAGCTGCTACTGGACAAGTGCCCGACGCAGGCGCCGGTGCACTTCGCTCTGCAAACGCAGTGTTGTTCATTGGCAATGTAGGGTTCAATGTCAGTGAAAAGACAATCAGAGATGTATTCGCTGCAAAGGGGTTCCTTGTTGATGTCCACCTGCCTTTGGACGTCGAAACAAGGAAACATGCAGGCTTTGGCTACCTGTACTTCCCTTCGATTCACGCCGCAAGGGCGGCATTGGATGCGTTGCAAGGGACACACATTGATGGTCACTCTATCAATCTGGAACTAAGCGACCATTCGCCAATCACGTCCCTCCATCCTGACCAGGCTCCAGGGTGGGGCGACGCTGGTCGGCCGTCAGAGCTGCACAGCTCAGCCAATCCATCATCAGGAATAAAGCCTGAGCGGCGCGAGGTTGGACAGGATGATGAGGGCATCACAGCGAGGGAGAAACGACCGATTCCTCTGAGTGTGGCCGATTTATGCTTGAGCGACGAAGGCACAGTTCAAGTGCCAAAAGGAAAAAAAATCCCGAGCACTACGCCTGACAATTTCCCCCGTCTCACCCGAGACTTAGAGCACAGCCGCTTTCCTCCCATGTCTCAAGAAGATGCTCATGTTCTAACCCACCACCGTCGAGACACGGACACACCAAAGTTGGGTGCGTCCGCACCCGAGTGTGATGCGAGCCATGGGAATGATGTCGCTGGCAGATCGTATCAACTGCAAAGCACCCCAGGCTCGTTTCCCGACGATGATGGCGATGAGACGCAGTCAGGTCCATTCCAAGAACTAGCTCATAGCGCAGGCACAGGTCATGATGATCACTGTAGGCCTCGTCGGTCGAAGAGTATGAGATACCTGAATCGCAACGGAGATATAAGTCCCTCGAGAGCCTTGAGACGGCGGGCAACTGAGCGACACTCTCTACGCCCTGGTCCACGGAACAGTGTTGGTGGATTTCACGACGAGGGATGCGCCTACGACAACTATTCCAATACTTTCGGGCACTCTCGTCCTCAGAGCATCGGTCCCGGATGAGAATGAACAACAGCTTGACCCAAGACAGAGTGCAATTGACGACTGCGTGGCTAGTCTGATTGGCCTAGGATACGAGAATACACTCGAGGGCGGTATTCAACGGATTGCGGTATATGCAGCCGCAGCCGACGGCAAGATATCAGATGCTATTGAGATGATTGAGGAAGAACGCAAGGCGTACGAACAGCAAGGTCTTTGAAACAGAATGCTTCATTCATTTCAACCCACTCCTTTTACCTCTACGATCTGGTTGCTTGTGATATGACTTGGTTCTGTCTTGCTGGGTAAGCATGCCATGCGCGATTATGGCCACTATATTGCCTTACCGGCGCACTTTCCTTCAGTAATATCTTACAATATAAGCGATTCATGAAATAGTTCTAATTATTTGTCCTTTCTTTTCAAACAAGCAAAAACAAACGTAGTGCTTTTACTGATGACCTCGGCGACCGCGATTCTGCCGTGCGGAAACAGCAGCACTCGGTCCGAGCCGACTTGAGCGGAGAAGATACAGTCTCAGTAACACGGCATCATCACAACGCAACTTTTCATCCAGTCTAGTCAGAGCTATGCGGACATGGCAGCGGACATTTGCCACGTCTGTTGCCAGACTGAATAGTAATGCAACAGGACGAAGCGGCGGTACCACTCTCCTGCGCTGCGCGGAAGTCCTCCGGAAGAGTCAGGCTGGGAGCAGCAATTACGAGAATCAAGAAATCAAGATCAACGGTTTCGTTCGCTCCGTTCGAAAGCAGAAACGCTTCGCGTTCGCAGAGATTACCGATGGCTCGACTATTGAGCCCTTACAGGCGTTCCTACAACCGGCGCAGGCGGCAGAGTAAGTTGAGTCGCGAGAAAAGCCTGCATATGGCGGCTTGAGATGAGTGCTGATGGTGGTTGTAGATTATCTACAGGAACGGCCGTCGAGATTTCTGGTCTGTGGAAGGCTTGCCCGCCTGGTAAAGAACAGAGCCATGAACTTCAAACGACTGAGGTGAAGATTGTGGGTCAAGCAGAACCAGAGGTACGTTGCCCCGACTAGATGAGAAGCTACAAGGGTAAAGTCTGACTGTCCATTATCTTTCTCCAGACATATCCTATACAAAAGAAATACCACAGTCCTGAATTCCTTCGGTCGATTCCCCATCTTCGTCTCCGAACGCCCTTCAACTCCGTCCTCTCGCGGTTTCGCTCTGAATGCCTATACCAGCTGGGCAATGTCTTTCGTGATGCGCCGAATGGCGGCTACGTACAAGTTCAACCGCCTTTGATTACATCATCGGACTGTGAAGGAGCTGGGGAGACATTTACGGTGCTGCCGCGTGAGACAATCATGGATCCCAAGTCGGAGGGGATCCATTTCTTCCGAGCTCCCAAGTACCTGACGGTCTCGTCGCAGCTCCATCTCGAGGCCTACGCAGCTGAGCTGGGAAATGTCTGGGCTATCTCACCGACGTTTCGTGCGGAGAAGAGCGACACGCCACGCCATCTCAGCGAGTTCTACATGCTCGAAGCGGAGATGAACTTCATGGACGATCTCGACTCCCTGACAGATGCGGTGGAATACGTGGTCCGCGATCTTACTCGCCGGTTATATGAGTCGCCGGTCGGCCAAGAGATCCTGGCCGCCAAACGGTCAGGCGAGAGCGGCCAAGACGATGCCGGGAATGGGGCAGTGTCAAACCTTCGACAGCGATGGGTTGATCTAATGGAGGGGCCACGCTGGCGACGTATCAGCTATACGCAGGCGATGGAGTTGCTCGAGGGGGCGGTCGCTCGGGGAGAGGTCTCGTTCGAGTATGCTCCCACATGGACCGAAGGCCTCCAACTCGAGCACGAGAAGTACATTGTCGAGGTGATCAACCGGGGTCAGCCGGTGTTCGTGACGGATTATCCCAAGGCCATCAAACCGTTCTACATGGCGCCGTCACAGGTGGCCCCAGGCAAGGAAGAGGACGTCCGCGCGCCCGGTGAAACGGTCGCCTGCTTCGATCTTCTCCTGCCGGAGGTCAGTGAAGTCGCGGGCGGATCACTCCGTGAACACCGCCTGCCCAACATTATCCAGAACATGCGCGACCACGGGTTGATCAAGGAGCGATTGTATCCTAGCTCTGGTGGTGCTGGAGAGACGTCTACGACCGAGACTGCCCCTGAGCAGCCGTTGTACCCTCATCTCCAGCCGTATGAAGACCTAGGACATCTGCAGTGGTACGCCGATCTTCGACGGTGGGGGAGCGCACCGCATGGAGGGTTCGGGCTTGGGTTTGACCGGTTTTTGAGTTATCTAGCTGGAGTTTCGAGTGTGCGGGATGTGGTGGCTTTTCCTCGATACTTTGGCCGGGCTGATTGTTAGGCTTTGCTGTACGGAGTAGTAAATGTATGATATGTATTCTAGCATTATGAATGAATAGACCCCTTCCATCCAGAGACCACGACAGCATCGAATCTTGGGACCAAAGCACGGTACTCCATACCACCCATACAAAGCTACAACATCAGGCCCCAGTCCAAAATCTTATCAAATCCCCGTGACCCATAACAGATTATAATAAATAAGCACTAAACCTACGGTGCCAACGCCAACCAACGCCTCCAACCAAAAATCAGGATCCAAGAATAAAGACGAATCAAAACTACCCTAGGTTCGCACAGAGCCCGAAACGAGCAACGACACTATCAACGCAACGCCATCTCGCCTAATCAACGCCATCGCGGACGTTTTGACTCGTATCCACGCCAACGGGTCGCGCGCGAGGGATCTGACCGTCCAATCCCAGAGCTGGCGTGTCGTCGAAACAGCCGGACAAGGGAGCTCGGTGAGATGGTGAGACTGAGTCGAGTCCTGTATCTTGTGTCTACGGCTTAGATACTGCGTAGAGGAGCGAGCGTAGAGGAGCGAGCATGGGGAATGACATGCGCCACTTAACCTAAATCTAAATTCTTTGTAGTCTCTGCTTTAACGAGGGAATTGTATCCGACGAGAGGTAGAGAGGGGTTGATTCGAGGAGAGAAACTCTGAATTGCTGTTGCATATGACTGATGGTTTGAGGCTACCTGTGCATACTACGAGCTATGCTAGGATGAGTCGAGCGGTGCTCGTTTGGATGGTTAAACCTACATTCCTCTCTGTCTAGATGCTCGAGCGCCTGTAGCCTGTAGGATCACATTCCCCGCATTATTTAAGCAATATGCTGCAGGATTCGAAACTGAAGATAGGCGAGAGTCAAAGGATTCTTCCTATGATTCCTTGAGACTTTGTGTTCCGTAGTCTGTACTCTGTAGATAGGACTAGAAAATCATGACAGACACTATCTTGATGCTAAAGTCCACGTGGCTCGTCTGGAGGTACCGTGACTGAGGCAGTAACAACTGGTAAGGTAGCAAACTAGTCAGAAATCGTTCTCAGCCAAGCCAGACTGGTTCATGGCGAGTCCTTGGCAAAGGCAGCTGCTGTTCTTGTATGTCATTATCTAGTGCAGTGGATGGACGATAAAGAAAGTAGATCTGATCCAGAAGTTTCCGATAACCTATTAGAGTAGGTGAATTAGAGTCAAAAAGGAAAAAGGACGCGATGGATCGAAGTCTTATGTCTGTCCCCAGGAACGATACTGAATCCTTCGAGAGTACTCAGAGTATGTTGTATTAGGCAGAATGATATGTGATCAACATAATTGAGGCTGTGCTCTAACGCTTTTCAAGGGTCAAGAGTTTCCTGCCGGTGACGCAACGGGTTCACTATCCTCTTTGAGAATAATCATAAGACTCAACATTAAGTCGTAAGGTTGTCAAATTATCAACAGCCGGGATATCCGGGAAAAGGAAGATCGGAGGCAACGGAGCTCAAGGAAGTCCGAGAACAAGCTGCGGTCTTGGACGGACCCTCGCCAAGTTCGCTACCGAGGCAATGGTGTTAAGATGAGAGTAATACCGAGAGGTAGTGGATAAATCTCCACTCTTCGAACTTTTTTTTTTGTGTACCATCTTATTGTAAGTTCACGTCTATTATTCATCATAACATAATAAAGAACAAAATACTGACATTCAGTCGATATTTTGGACCAAAAAGCGAATACCGGTAACTAAGGTACTGGTAAGATAGGAATACGATAACACCTCCCTACCTTACCTGGCTGGCTGAGACACTACAGCGTCACTAACAGGCGCGGAGAAATGCCAAGTTGCCAACCTTACTGGTGTTAAGCATATGGAGCTCGGCCTGGAGGCGCCTGGCATGGTGATTCGTCAGTGACTTGGACCCCAGCAGACTAATGTATGGCCCTCGTATCACGGTATCCTTATGTCGCGAATACGATATGTCTGACTCTTAGGCTCACCCGGGCTTTCCCCCCTTTTTCTTTGCTTTTCTTGTTTTTGCTTCTCTTGCTAAGGAGTCAGAGAGGGAAAAGGATATTTTAACTCGGGGACGTGAAACAGACAAGGAATGAGGATCCAAGCCCCGATCCAAGCCTTGTGGTGCAGCGATCATGCGGACTGTGTATATGTTTGTATTACAATACAGTGGCAAGGTGGGTTGGACTCTTGCTGCCTCTGAGAATAAAAATAATCGCATTTCAAGGTATGCTTGGCCTCAACAGACTTTTTAAGTGTCCTACCTGCCGTCTTTAGTACAAAAGCATGGAAGGTCTGCCAGTGGCCCAGTGCCACCGCAAAATTAAAGGGACTAAATTCTCTCAACTGCAGCCTAATCAAGGATAGAGTAGTAAGGTTACAAGCGGGGATGTGCTTGGCTCTGCAGCGCTTTGACTCCAAGGGCCAGGGATAAGCTTGATACCAGACTTCATAAATGGGAGGTGTCGCAGAGGTTTAACTCCTCAGCATTTCTTGTCCATTCCACATTTTTGAGTTGCCTTAGCGGAGGTAAAAGTATGCTATTTAGACTTTATATTAGCAAACCACAGTAGAGATTCCATAGCCAGCATGAAGAGCATCGTCTCGTCTCAGCATAAATCTACGTATCTGGATATTCCATTCAAATTCCACCATGACAAATGCATAATTCTAATCCTTGTCAATGTAACCGTAATCTAAATCAATCTTCCCCTTACTGTTATTTCCCACTTTCCAGTGGATACTTTAAACCCATTATGCTAGTGGAGTTAAGCCTGTGCAACGTTTCACAGGGGCACGCCTTGGCAACCTTTAATTCAAATTAAGGGTTGCATTGGCATGACAAATCTCAACCCTTCCAACTGGAAATATGCGTCTTTTTGATCTGGTATGCTCGATGTTCTACTGAGTTCGTCAGTTCGAGAGAGACTATGCAAGGAGAATGATCGGATATGTAAGATCTCTTTTTTGTCTTTTCTGGCCATACCCGAGACTGAAGGTTTGTGATATCATCTCAAGGAGCAAACCAATCTGACTCAGGCATTTGGTCCAGATTGCAATCTTCTTTTGGTTCATAACAACTCGGAGATTATCTCGAGTTCATTTACGGGAATGTACGGAGTCCGTTAATGCTCAGGTCTTGTCGCTTTCTACACGCTCAAGGGTAGTATTCGCGGTGCCGTGATACATATCTGCTACATCCCTGCTGTTGCCCTGGAATGTAATCCTGAAGACAAGGTTCCTCTTACACAACCAGAAACATTATTGATCAAGACAGTGCGTCTATCGGCGGCGCAGGCGGCAACACAAGATGGGGGAAGCAATTTAGATGCAACTGCAGATCCATCCTCCGTCCGGTTTTACCGCCCCAGTCGGCGAAGACATGCAGTACTCTTCCCCGAAGCTAGACAGATCATATCCCAAGACTGATAATGGGCTTTCCCCTCTGGTTAGTGACTTGTTAGTTGAGGTTGATAGCGGGTCGCAGATCATTTTATTCTCGAAATGCACAGTGGAGGCCAATTGTCAGTAGACTATTATCTGCAAACCGAGTATGTGATTTCGACGCATCCTACGTATCACCAGTCAACCGACGCAACCCGCTTCAGAGGGCATACTGCAAGGCTGGTCAGCACCTCGTCTTATCTTCTTCACTTGTTGGTTGCCTGAGCGAATAGATTTGGTGTTTTTGCCGACACCATCTCAATATATGAGACCTCAGCTGCAAGTCAACCAGCCACTGCATTACAGCATCGACGCATGATTACCTATGTCCGATACATGCGAGGCTTACCTGAGAGCCATCCAGCAGTCAATACACAAGTGTGACACAATTTGCCAATAATAATACACTTTCCCGTAAAGGTATAATTTACAACCAGTGGACCGGCCAAGTGGCCAAGAAGGATGGACCAGGATTCAGCGGGCTTTGTTGGCGATACGCTTATCCTGAGTCAGGGACTGCACTGGTTGATGACTAGTAGATTCTGCGACGGTAGTCTTACTCTTCCTCGTAAAAATATTATTATCATGTAGGATTCAGCCTATGGAGAATGTGGATGATTTTGCTGTCTCAGTCTCCCTCTCACTGGCCCCCTGGAATAGAATTCTTTTGGCCCCCGGAGTATTTCTAATAATGTGAATTGTGGAATAATCCTCCTAAGAATATCGAAGGCTGGAAGCGAAAACTTTCATGTGCGAGACTTCCTGGCTGTGCGTAAACCTTATCCGCGATCTCTATTTTGAGTGATGATGTCCTCTACATGATCATAAGGGCCACGTCGCCTCATATTCATCTGTAGTCGTCAAAATTTAATTTATGAAATAGTCGATGTGGACTGCCTCTCAATCCAGGAAAATGACTAAATAGCCTGCATACCACAATCAGCAGAAGCGCTGTCTGGTGGATAAACTCTGCCAAGGACCGTGTCGGGCCTGTGACTAATCCGAATGTAGTTGCCTAATCCATGATCTCTATCCCAAATAACGAACAAGGGCGCGATGACAGATTTTTGAAAGGATATTTGAATCTAAAAACCGCCTGGAGCAACGTAAAAGCGAACATGTCAAGTCTTCCATCGCATAATTCAGACCAAGTATCAAGTCGCAGAGTGCGTGTTCACAATTCTAACCTTACTACTCCGTAAGACTTTCCAGGAGTCTCTCTTGAACGAGAGTTATGTGGCTTAACGAATACGAAGGTGAGTATCGCCACAGTGGCTTCAGTCAACATTATGGAGTAATAAATGATGAGCTCGTACCGGGTAGCTATGATTCATAATCGGAAATAAAGGGATATGCCGGATATACGGCAGTGCCTAGAGGCCAGATAAGGTAATTCGAAGGAGAAGCCCACAAGGCGACGACTAGTGCATTGGTGGACCAAGTGGTAGGATCTAGTCCAAAATGGCGTCAGCTATTACTACTATAATCCATTACTGGTCTGGCATTAATTCTTAAAATTTGTCATTTAATTCTGTATGGGCTCAAAAAGGTAATTTTTTGGCCGGGCGCAACCGCTGCAAAGCAACATCTGGCCCAGTTTAAGTCTAATATTATAATTTATAAGCCGGGCGCGATCGGTGAGTTGTGCATCCAAGGTACGTGGTACTCCATGTAAGAGATAATCCATAAAATGGGGGATTTCCAGAATCCCCGCTTGAAAACTTATGACCAAACCAAATAAAACGAAAACTCTGCCTTAAGTATTCGTATCACTGTCAGACTGTCAATAAGAGCTAATAATAACGAAACCAGGATGAACATTACTGAGACACTGAGACTATTTATTAGCAGTTCAAAGTCGACTAGACTCAGACTACATGGGGGAGAAGTGGAGCTTTGGGCAGGGTAGATGGGACCTTTCTTTCTAAGCGAGGTTAAGGTTCCTCGTGTTGGATTAAGCTTAAGCTTCAGAAAGTCGCGCACTAATCAGTATTAGGGTGCGATCAAGCGATCAGAGCGCCACCCTACTGTGCGTAACCTTGTATTATTCCATTTTTATTGGAGTTCGTGGAGCATTAAGTGGAGGTTCTTACGTATTATTGTATTTGTGACCTCTGACCAGCCGCCCTAGAACATTACCATAATGTCTCGGCCCTACCGGGGCCCGAGCGATAATTTCTGATTTATTTTCATTTGTTACCTGACATGTACAACAGATGAAGCCAAGGATAGAGAATGTTGCCAAGGCTTGACCTCTTGAGTTCGCAGACAACAGAGAACAACGGAAGGATTCTGATCAGGTTTCGTGGCCGTATCACAAGGTATGTATAGCTGTCAAGGAAGTCCAGAATGCTGCCTCCTTGAATCTGCCTGTCAGCAGTCAAATCTCAGGTTTGAGATCGGCAATAACCTGATACTGTGGAATGAGGCATCTGGTATGCACTAAGTTGGACATGATGACACTTGGAAGCTAGAACATGCATAATCTTGAAGTGCACCTTAGTCAAGTCTTGATTTGAGCTGTATCGAACACTGGTCGCATTGGTCTCCCATGCCTTACTTCCAGAACTCTGCTGGATTACTCAACAAGGAAATTTATCTTGCTCAGGATTGGTCATGCTTATTTCATTTTCTAATAATTCGAATTAGATTCCATGGTAACCTGTTACAGTTTACTTCTCCAAACCATGGATCGCTTAAACATGAACAAGTTTAAATGGGCTCTCAAATAGTTTTAATACTCATTAATCATTCATAATTCCAGGTCACAGCCGACATAAAATACATAATCTCATTAAATACAGTCATCAATGGTCCAAAGACATTCCTTTTACTTGTTGTTTCATCCTGGTTACCCACATGGATCCTTTCTCTAGCTGTTTCTCGGCGCTGAGACATTGACCAGCACCTATGAGGTCCAAGCAACTGTGTTTGTATTTTGTTTCTTTTTTCCTTTTCTTTTTTTTTACTTTTTTTTTACTTTTTCTCTATTTCCCTTTTGTTATTACTTTCCACTTTTGACTTCTGAATAAAGTAACTTTGAATCTTGTGGGGTTCAGAGTTGAGTCCGTCTCCACTCTATCTTTACTTACTCCTGCTGATGCTTTTCTATTATTATTATAATTTTTTATTTTTCTCATAATAATTCTTATGATTCGTATTATTGTTGTATTAGTGCTACTATTCTTTCTGCTCCCTGTCTCTCTTATTTTGGTTTTACTTTTCTTTTCTGACCCTCTCTCTTATTATCTCTCCTTCTTCCGTTCCCTCCCTCTTTCTTGCTTCATTTCTTCCTTTTACGACCCTTTCCAAACTGACACACTTCCATCCCTCATATCTTGGGATCCGATCTATTATCCAGATATTCTCTTTATCTCCTTCAGTCCAGGTGGGTACAAAAAGGATCTTCTTTCATATGATGTCAATCCTTTTCTCCTCACTTCAGTCTGTGAAACCGCATGGCCACATTTACTCGGCCTTCCCTGCATTCTTCCTTTTATTCTCCTATCGTCTTTCCCCACTCCCTTTTGTCTGCCCTGTTTCTGCTTCCCATTCCAGCTCCCCTTGTCTCTCCTGTTCCCTCCCTCTCGTCACATTCCAAAGCAGTCGATCATCCTGAAGAATTACATTAACGTCAGCCTCTGCTCGTCAACAGTCCTCCCCCTCAGCTCTACCGTTCTCTGTCGGATCTGTCGGTTGTCCGTATCTGGACCCGAATTTGATTTCCTCCGGAAATCCACTACACTTCACGCAGAGCCTAGCTTCTATCGCGGCCGAACTACATCATCACGCCTTAAACCACGGGACGAAGGCATATTATCATCCTAAGCAAGCCACAGTCAAACCAACAACCGCCATCATCATTTCGTACTTTTCAAAGCCATCTGCCCTGGCGCTCAGACCTTCCACCGTCACGGGTACTTATCCAGATCAGCGAGGGTGGATGGAGACGTATCACGGTCACGTCCGCACTCCGGCGGACGCCATCATTCTTTTCGAAGCATGCCGTATCGGCCTTCTTCCCCGCGTTCAGAGACGACTTTCGGAGAAAGAGCGCCAATCTATCCAATCCGGTTCTGTATTCGTCTGGGATGAGCGTGAAGCGGGTATGCGACGATGGACAGACGGCAAATCATGGAGTGCCAGTCGAGTATCGGGCAGTTTTCTCACCTACCGTGAGATGGAGGGCAAACGCGGGGGTACCGTCACACAACCACTCAGAGCCGGTAAAACGCCTGACAGCAGAGGGAGCGATGACGATCGCGGCGACGGTGCTGACGATGGGCCTGACGGGTACCGATATAAGCCGGACGGACTTATGAAGCAGTCCTTCAGCATCACCACATCCACCGGCCAGCATCTCCACCTCATCAGCTACTATTCGCGATCGCACCCGGCAGCTGCCACTCTCCAACAACCCTCCACCGACCCTGCATTACGACATGTACGTCCCCAGAAAGGACTGTATCCCGAATCAACTGTCAATGACCAGCAGAATCTGCCGGTGGTCACCCGCGGCCCCATGGCTGGCGCMACTTACTCTGTCCCTCATCCGATGAGTGCATATGTGCGCGCTGGAGCTACACATCCTCAATCATATACTCCGCCCTATGCATGGCCCCCAACACCGCTGGGAACTCCGCCCACTATCGCTTTGCCATATGGTGCTTCCTACTTGTCCGCCGTTCCCACACCTAATGGCCCAGCCATTGCGTACGGGCAACCGCCTCCACATCACCACCCGGCTCTTCCACCGCCTCCGCCGCAACACGCACTGCATCCGCCATATGATCGATCGGTACATCCGGGTCATCCAGCGGAAACCTCATTACCACCCGCTATCCCACCCTCCGTAGCGCAGCATACACCGCTTCCGGCACTCACAGGGCGCTCGCCTCGCCTAGCTCCCGACCCGCGCGACAACTACCAACGGAGCCCGCGAGACTACCCAACACATTCGGTAGATCCCCGAATCCCGTCCCCTCGCATGCATGCTCCTTCCGCCTCGCATAGCAACGGCGTGGGACCCTCTGTGCGCAGCCCGCGGACAATAGGCCAGGCACCGCCCACCCCCTTACCACAGGTCGCACCCCCGTTATTGAACGGGACTTCCAAACCAGGCGATCCCAACAACAACAGCAGCAGTAGCAGCAGCACAGCCAGTACCTCCGCCACCACCGTTCCCAGCATCGGGGCGCTGATGAACGGCGCCTCGGGCCCCTTATCATCCATCACATCCGCACCGTCAAACAAACTCAACGCTCCTCGCTTGGGCGGCAGTCCCCGCGCGGAAGGGCCGAAAGATATCCCCAGCGAAAAGATTGGGTTTGGGGGCGAGGATATGCGGGCTCTGCGGCAGTTGGATCGAGTCTTTACCGCTTAGGTTTCCAATATCTCCATCGTATTGCAACTCCATCTCGTTGCTTGTCAGACGAAGAATGCTGTCCTTTCTTTGATTTTTCATTTTCTTCTATTGTCATGGGGGGCTCGGCGTTCATAAGAGGTGCATTGATTTCGTGATTAGCATGGGTGGGATCTTGGTCTATTTGTGTATCGACTTCGGCTTCGAATCGAATGGGCAAATCTGCATTTGTCTCCATAAATGTGCCACGCTAGCTTGCATTGGGACCGGTAGCTGATCGTCGAAATAATACAGATGATTTCGTCCATTTGCATTGCGGAGCGAAGCGTAGCATGTCTACTAGCTCGTAGAGTACCAACGTAAATTCAATCTAGGTCACGTCATGATTACTTTAATCGCCTGTGGATGGTCATTCATCCCATCATCGTCGTTAGCGTGTGACATACTTTAATACACCGTTACTAAACTCAGTACCCCCACAATAAATCCAATTCATTAATCCTCCTGCTGTCCCGGCGACGCGACAGTAACGGTCACGAAACCACTTTCCGACGAGCTAGAGGCATCACTCGCCGTCCGCGTCGTGACCGTCGGCGCTGCTGCTGCTGCCGCCGCCGCCGCAGAGCCGTCTTTATCCTCGCCATCTCCCTTCCCATGCGGAGCGAGAATCCCCATCTCGACGTAGCGATCCAACTGCTCGCGAGACGAGGAGCGGGAGCGGGAGCGGCCACGGTTGCTGCCGCGCGGCCAGCGCGATTTCCACCAGCGCTTGCGACCAAGGAGATCGGCGTCGGAGGCGAGCGCGGAGTCGAGCTCCCCTCGCTGGACGATAAGGGCTTTATCCTCGTTGAGCTCGCCAAAGCCGACTGCGTTGAAGAGCAAGATGATAAGTAGGGCGGGGGCGAAGCCGAGGCCGTAGAGCCAGCCCTGGCTAACTGCCACGCGCAGCGGGGAGACGGACCAGTCGAAGGCGGCGGCGATGGCGTAGCCGGTTTTGAGACCGAGGAGGGCGAGGGCGAGGAGGAACTCCGGGGGGCTGGCGGTGAGGTAGAAGGTTGCTTGGGAGAGGGGGCTGGTGGGCGCTGCTCGGTATCGGTAGATGCTGTGCTCGAGGCTGTAGCAGATGACTAGCGTGCCGGCCAGGGACATGAAGGCTGCGAGCTTGAAGCGGAGGTCTGTGGCGAGGGGCTGGGCGCGCAGCGCGGTGAGCTCCGGGCTGCGCTGCAGCTCGATGCCGGTCCAGCTGCGTGGGATGGTTAGGAAGAAGTTGGCGAGGGCGAAGGCGTAGAAAAGGATGGGGAGGAAGGATTCCTGGCGGCGTCGGCTGCTGCGTTTTGTGAAGGCGTAGGGGTCGCGGTCGAGGATCTGGCGTTCTTGCCAGGAGCCCCTGCTTGTTGTCAGTACGGAAATGTATTTTAAAAAAGAGGTTGCGTGCGGAGAAGTGAAGCATACCAGTGTCGCACGGCCTCCCAGACTGCCGCCATGAGGCCTGGGGTCATCAGGGTGTAAAAGACACTCTGCAGGACCAATGATGTTCCCTGAATATGGCTGCGGTCTACGTCCACGGTCATGAGGCAGCTGATCAGTCCGCAGGCAGCGACGAACAGCAGCCACAGCCACTTGAGTCGACGGCCCATCGTGCGACCAGGTAGATACTTGCATCCGTGTTTTCGCAGATTGAGCATGGTGAGAAACATGGAGACAGCAAAGAACGCGGTGAACGCCATCCCGATCGAGGCATGTAGGCCTATGCCATGGACGGGCGCGTAGCAGGAGATACCGTTGACAAAGGTGCCGTTCTCGTCCATGCGAGGTTGGAACTCTTGGAAAGCAAGATAGCAGTCGGTGCCATTGGAGAGTGTGCCGTTGCTGTATAGCGTGTACTTGTACAAGTCCAACGTCGTTCGGTTGAAATGAACCTCGTTGACGATCACGTCCGTCGCATTGGCTCCCTGCTCATATGGAGTCGCTGCTCGAATGTGAAGGATAGTCATGATGCTTGATGTTCCTCCTTTCTCTCTTACTGTGCGCAGCGTCCCACACCGGTGATGTCCTCAATGGAGGTATCTCAATGCCGCCGTGATCATCGCGGATAGAGACTGACAAGAACGGATAGAACATGGTCAATTGATGATAGAACAGATTTCAGTTGCGAGGAGAGCGGAAGGACCGGAGGTTGACGGTCTGATGACGAGGGTGAGGTGGTATTCGGAACAGTCAATGATGATATGACTGACAGCTGGGAACCACGCGCTTCGTCTGGTGCCTGTCGGACGCACTCCATAACTACTGTGTAAGCCACATACAAAGCTTCAAGTGAGTGACTTGGAACCCATTTCATTACTGCTTCTGACAGTTCCATTCCAAGGGACGACGATTCTCAAGTAAAAAGGCATAACCCCACGATTTTCCTTATCGATAAGACAGGGTTGTTATCGATAACCTTACCCCATTGGGCTCACCCTGAATATCAACGTACACTATTTCATTTCTCAAAGGTGGCGCAAATGCGATTGAGTAATGGAATCATCCAGCTGATAAATCATATGCACTGGCTTCAGCCCATCCGAACTTAACCTGAAAGCCACGCATACCCCGTACGGAGTGAATGGTAGTGGCAAGACGGACGACTCCTTGCGAGGCAAATTCAACTATCATTGGTTCCGCAGCTGACTGAGAGGGATTTCTTCGTGGCCTGCAAGGAACTGTCGAGCTATCTGTTTGCGTCCCGTGCTCTGAGCAGCAGCTAGCTGAAGAGCTTGTTCCGTATGGATGCTGTCTCGACCCTGAGTAAGGCATTATGCCCATGCGCGTGCCAATCAGCAGTCTACAAGCAATACCAACAATGAGATTGAGGTGAACTTTGTCCGCATGGAGGGTTGACCTGTCCACCTTCCTTTGAGGGCATCGGATTGTTTTGACCGCAGATCCTAATTGATTGGATATGAGAGATATATTCCCTTCCAGACCGACAGATTCATGCACTTGGGCGAAACATATGTTGGCTGGGTTTGGAAGGTGTCCACGTGATGACATCTACGAGGAAATATAGGTAGCTTACGCCTCATATGAGGCGCAATGTTTGGAAGTACTTTGTAAAGCCTTGCGATCGAAGGACACGTATTCAAAATTCAGGCTGAAAAATATGCGCCTGAACGGAAGGACGAGTCACAACTTTTGTGCATCGAACCAACAGAGGAGCTTCTGGGTCGCCTTACAGAACAGCGTATGCTTTTGTGGAAATCCAAGAGTCTTGGGAAGCAAACTTGAATCTGAAACTGATCGAACCTTACTTGATCAAATGCAAGACCGGAAGATCTCGGTCATACCAGACCCCGCAAAGAGATGATGGGGTGCATGAGACTAGGAGCACAGCTCACCAGAGGAGGTTACACTAATCCATTGCATCCGGGGGAAATATCTGGTGAAGCGAGGTGGTTGGCCAGAGACTGGAAGCCAGTGAGCTGCTAGTATTAGGCAAAAAAAAAAGGCCTGTGTATCTCCGTAAGATAGATAGATGAGCTTTCTCCTACGGTCATACCTAAGCGTTCCACAAGTGGAGAATCATAACATGATTATTGAATTCGATTATACGTGCTCTGTGCGAACTTGAGTTTGTTTAATGCTCTCATACAGTTGCACGCTTGCACTCGTCTTCGTAACGCTCAGCCTCATAGACTACAGATCAACGCCACAATTATCGCGATCTGAAAAGACCTCTTCGATACTCAAGTCACCAAACTCTGGCCCTTCAAAGTCGTATCCCTGCGCTAGCCATAGAAACTCAACGAAATGAATAGAAGCAGACGGGGAAAGTTGACGCTTCGAATGTCACTGTACTTATGTGATTGGCCCTCAACCAAGGAGCCAAATAATGTACGAGGTTCAAAAGATGAAACTAACTTAGTAATGGGATTGGGGCTTTGACTCAATGTGGTATTAGACTCAGCCTAACTTGCACAGAGAAAGATCGATAGCGACTCCACAGGCAGAGTCCAGTCCGTAGGTAGTGTTCTGCATCAGACCATCCGCTCCGATCGGCCCCATTCTCGGTTGACTTTCCCTGAACGAGAACAGCAACACGAGGTCAGGTGGTTCTTGTAGGGTCCGTTGGGCAATGCACTTTCTTCGTTCCCTGTCAGTAGGTGACACCAGCTATCTAGTCGCAAGAAAATACGGAGGAGCGAGACATAACAAAGTTTTAACAAAGTTAATAAAACTGCGCATCTAGGCGTCAGCTTACGACGTTCCTCAGCATGGCGATGATGTCAGATAAAAGTGCACCTGATAAAATCAGCCTTGGTAAGCTTTGGAGTAAGCCTGACAACGATACTGATGGCAATAGGAAACGCGACGGCTGGGGTTGATGAAGTTTAATCGGCCTCAAGTTGGACAATCAGCTCTTGTGGTAATTAAAAGCCAAGTTCCATTGTCACAAAAGGTAACCTCCATGGTTCACAACGGGATGGCCCTCCCGTTTGGATCCACTAGGTACCTTACACTGCGGTGGAGACTGTATCATGATTTTCAAGGCCTCAAGAGATGAAACCCAAAACACTCAGGGTAAGGGAAATGCATCAAATGAAGAATGCTGGGATTGTATGGGGCATGATGAAAATTGATGTCTGGCCAGCAGAGTCTAGACTCTGACACACGACAGCTGCAGCAGCATATCCCCTAATTAGAATGGGTGACGACTGATGACTGATGAAGGCTAGCTATTTATGTATTTACAGGATTAGTTGGGGATGCATAAGACAACAAAGATCAGGGATCACTTTAGTCTCCGCTCTCTGGCAGTGGAGCCTGTTTCACCACCACATTCTTGACTGCTGGTGCTGATTCCTGTCTTCAAGGTCATCTGTTCATCTTGCTGCCCTCAGCATGGACGATGGCGTTGCCTGAGGTCTACGCCTCTCGGCAGTTGTATATAACCGGGCGGTTTGACTTTGGACTTGCGAGTCATTTTCTCAACTAGTGAACTGTACTGCGTAACACAGTTTMCAATAAGATCGCCATAAGCCAAAAAATGCTCGGAAGAGGGCACTACTGTGTGTGATTGGAAGAGATTTCCCGCGCTATGATAAATCTCCGGCTTGCCTGAACGAGGTATCCCGCTCACCTGACGCAACACCAACTCTCTAGCTCACACAAGTTGGGGGCACACTGGCAGTCTGTCCCTGACTCGGTGCATCAACAGAGCAGGGACATGGGACAGCTTGATACATATGGAGCACTCGATACGGTATTGATTCTCTGTACCCTGTACACTAGGAACAGATAGCTACGCCTACTAGTCCATTTCCTCGAGCCGGTGTTCCGATCATCATGATCACCAAGCTTAAATCCCTTACAAGTCCAGGCCAGCATAGTGAAAAGAAAACACTTGATTTACGGGAATATCTACCCCTGATAACAATGTAAAAACCCTGGAAGAAGTAACAATGAGAATTCAGAACAGCATTTCCAGCCTCTCAAGCTTCCTCGGGCATCTTCCAGTTCGTCCCTAGACAGACAAAAGTTTCGAGGTGGATCAACAGCCCATCAGCCGGTTTGACTCCCGAGTTCCCAAGCCATAAATCGACAGGAGGCCCAAGCACTCGGAAACAATACCACCCAAATTATGGAAGTGTGGTCTTGTGCCCCATTTCTTCAGACGAGGCCGTTCCTTCAAGACGAGAAGAGAGGAAAACTCGATATGAGGTCGAGTCATCGCTGGGGATGAGTATGTAAGGTACTCGGTTTTCATGTTTGCCTACAAGGACGTAGTGACAAGGAAATACAGTCATTTTGTCACCGTGTATGTTCCGAATCAGGTGACAGTGCAGGGACGGGAGTCCTCCGAATAATACTGGGATAATTCATGGCTAGAGCAAGGAACGGCGCGGAAGAACTTGTTAGTTGTTACAGAGTCATCAGTGGGGAGTGGACCTGTCACCAGTCAATGAGTCAAGGAAAAGAACTGGCCGGGAATGGAGGGGAAAAGGGCGCCTTTGTAATTTGTAGGGATGATTTTCCTGTCCTCGGAAGTCTGTGCGAGTCGATCTGGCCCACTTTTCCCCAGATTGTCTGTATGACGAGGGAAAGGATGCAGGAGCAAACACTGCATGCCCTGGTGGATTCCCAGAGCTTCTCTGCTACGGATTGGTACCACATCTTGACCGCCATCACGTCCGGAAGAGACCAAATAAGCATGAATTAAAAGAGACGGATCTGGTCAGACCGGAGTCAAGGCTGCATGCTTTGGCCAGACGCTGGAGTCTGAGACAGAGTCGAAGTAGTAGCGTGGGGGGAGCAGAGCCCAGCTGAGCCTGAGCCGTGTCCGTCCTATTCCAGCCGGCATGCATGTAACTCTTAACTGTTACTACTATTATTATTGATTTATCCAAGAAGAAGGAGATCGACGACGGTTGAAAATCTAGAGAGCAGGAGTATCAATTTCTGATGGCCGGGGCCATTGTAGACTTCACAGAGAGTCGATTATGGTTTGGATCATTGAATGGCTTTGTCCTCATTATTCGGATCAGAGAAGATAGGCTATTTGCATTGAACCTCCGCTGTCGACTCATCAACGCGTGACTAACCAACTGCAATATTACCCAAGATTCTCATCTTCATTCAATCCAGGGTAGTCTTCTCATGGTGGATGCAGGGATGAATCTGGGGAAACAAGGCCAGTTGCCAACCGAGATGCATCATATTTCTTCTCGCAGCCAAAGACAGCGTCGAGGATCATCCGCCGTCGTCATCCGTGCATTTGGGATTTGGGACCGATCAAACGAACCTGTGAGCGTGGTTTTTTTCCTTATTAATAAATATTGAGCAACACTTGCTTTTTTGTTTTTATTTTTAATTTTAAAATTGCCCATCCTCTTCTAAGGTTTCCCTAACTTTTCCGGAGTGCGTCTGATCCTCGCGATGGCTTTTCTTGGGCTCCCGGGTTGCCTTGTTGCTTTTTCGACGGAGTACCCCGTACCTATATTCCCCAATTCTT